CTCGGAGTATTACACCATCGAACCAAACAGTTGCCCGGCCCCCATTTGACAAACTTACACCAGTTACTTCATTTGACGGTCCCTAACAGGAACGACCACTTGGGGGTTAAGGCACAGTCCGTGGGGTAGGATTTTACTCACGTCGTCTCGTGACGGAAGGAAACCGACTTTTCCTCTGGCTAGTGTACTGCCAACACCAACGAGTATAACGTCACAGTCTTTCAAAATATCCGGGCGCGAGACTCAAGATGACCGTGCCTCCACTCCTCCGTCAACCTGCTACTGAACACCGGCCAATGAAGTGGTGTCACCTTTTTGCTGAAGTCTCCCAATCATTCATGCTTGTAGGCGTTCAACAGGGCAAACGTCATTACGTTGAGTGTCATTCTTTTAAACCAGAGATGCAACGTAACATGTCTGGACACGAAGATATCTTATTGCATGGTTGGAAAGCTTGGAGTGTCGTCCCCAATGAATCGTGTTGTTAGCGCTAATTGATTATTAACCTTCTTAGTTTGAGTGCTGCATATCTTCCCTCTCCTTTGATTCATCTCCAAAACAACTGCGATTCTGCTTAATGAAATACAGAATTCTTGAAAGTTTCTGATCCCTACTTTAACCACCAATTCATTACCCTACCAAAATATGAATGAAAAATGCTGCTATGAAAATCTGTGTCGGATTTTGTATTCAGTAGTCTTCTCTGGAAAACAGGGTGCTGACCCCCGTGTAAGAACCGTCATGTGCTTACTTCATGCGGACATCAGGTTACGATCGTCCCTGCCGCTATAGATTCACCAAGTGTAGTCCTGTTTTCACTTTCAACATGTAATTTGACTCCCCGTCCAACACAAAACACGATAAAGCGTTCCAGCAGTTGACTACTCTGCGAAAGATGCGGCACACTGTAGGCGTCTTCCATAAGATTTGCTCCTTCATGTTCAATCGAGACCCACCCCCCTTTCACCGTCTTTTCTGAAGGAGAATCTTGCACGCAGTTCCGGACCCACTTTTCTCCGAACATTTTGCGTACCAATGTTTCAACACACTCACACGCCTTCGGCCTTGAGGAAGCGCACCAGCGAAGTCTACCAACTCCCCACGGCTCTTTCCCTCCATTTCAACCACAATTCGGGTGGCCGTTTGGTGAACATCCTCCAGCTTCCGCGTCCCCTTCTGTTGCAGTGATGGGCCTTCACCCCCAACTGGTCTAACGCGTACGGCGAGCAAAGTTGTCAGGATTTCGGAAGCAAGCGTGCTGAGATGACGTTCAATTAGCCTCCGTGCACCACGAGCTGAACTGAAGATCCCGTCCGTGTTGTCCTGCGTCTTGAGTGATGCCGAAACAGCGATATCCGGGTCACGTTCACCTGTTGCTTGTCTCAGCAACCGTCTACCCACTTCGTAGTCGCCCATTCCACCGGTTCCTCGAATTTGAAGTTCACCAACATAACTCAATAGATGATCAAGATCGGTGTATAGAGCGTCCCAATCCTATGCCGATTTTGTGGCGGGCCAGACCTTTGGGTCATCAGGTCAAACTAAACATGGTCGTTCAACCATTCCGCGGAGACGACTGATGACAACCAAATAAAGCAATGACCCCTAGACTCAGACCTGATGAACCCCGCTAGATACATCCAATCAAGAGGAATGGGTCCCACACCCTATCCGAGTAGCTGCGATCACATAAGGAATTCCTATCCACGTTATGTTGGGGCTGGTGAAACCTCCAGCTTGCTTAAGAGATTTCAGTGTGGGACTGTCGAAAGCTTTGTTAACTTCCATAAACGTAACGTCTGCTGACCTCCCAGTAGCCTTAACTTCAACGCAATGTTATGCTGAAATCAGTAGGTTGGCCCCGACGAAAACCGTGCTGGCAAGAGAATGCCGATCCGTATACTTGCGAAGACGCTTTAGCCTCTTTTCCCGTAAAAGCTCTATTACCCCCCTAAAACCCTGAATATAGCCCACTGGCCAATAGTACTTTGACAATTTGCTGCTCCCATCAATATAAAAGAGACAGAGTAGTACCCGCCTCCACTTCGTAGGTATTCGACTTTCTTGTTAGGATGGGTTGAAAAATCACGCTAGTGGACCCGCCAGGACATTCGCAAGTTCCCGCGAGCCAATTGGACAGCGGGACTTCTGGGGGTTAAGATTTTTTAGCTGCTGTTGAACTTTTCTGTTCGCAATTTCCTTTGCGTCGAACACAGTGGCCCCAATATCACGTAGAACCAGATATGTCTCAGTGGAGTGCAGTGTAACCTGACGGGTAATCAGAGCCTCTGCTTTTGCATATGCAGCTTCTGCTTCCTGGTCTCTCCGACAAGTGTAAATATGCAAGTGCCTGCTCGTAGTTAAGCCTAAAACCTCTTTCAAGCTGTCTTTGACAGGTTGCGTTTTGCACTGTTCAGATGACTATATTCACTGCAGATAATTTCGTGACGTTTCCTTCAGTTGTCCATTGTGCGCTGTTTGTTGACAGAAGGCGGGAGTCGCCGACTATGTAACCGTTTTTACTGAACATCTCAACATCAGAATGGGCAGGTCGTTAGGTACCCTTTTTTGCGGTGCGCCATCACGTGCGCACCTAGGAGCCGCCTGGAATCCAAGCCACCAGAGGCCGTCACAAATTATACTGTGAACGCATTTGAGCTATTGACGGTCCGTCGGGGCACAGGGAATACAGAGTGAACCCTTCCTGGTCGCGGCATGAGAATCGTGAGCGAATGACCCCGAAATCCACACCGAACTGGAGAAAACTCCGGTCTGCCCACTGTACAATGTGTAAAATTCTCCCCAAAATTCTGGTTCATATTATGAATATGATGGTGAGGATCTTCGCCTGGTGTCTGCTTGTCGCATGTGATCGCCTTTGGTTATTCGCATGCCTGTCCGCCAATGCGCACAAACAGCACCACACACAGTTCCGGTCCCCTGGCGAGCTTCACGGTGCGGTCCTTGGCCACCCTAGCTATTCCTGCGTATCGGTGTCTTTTGGCCCTTGTCGAGACTTATTGTAAAGTTTTATAATTTACGTTAGGTATCTTTCAAGTATTCGTAATTTTTTACGTCCCTCTGTTATTGTGCATATCTGGAGAACGTTAATATGGCGCTCCCCTTAATAAATCTAGTCAGCCCGTAGATTTTGTAATTCCATCGCAGGTACATCTGGTTTTTCCGACGTAAGCCACCACTATTTTTCATTGATTCATCTAATTTTGATGTCTGTTACAGTCGATATTTTGCAGGAATAGATTTTTTTATTTGCCAGACCCTCCCATCAGTGCGCTTTTTATCTCGAACACCCCTTTTGGTAAAAACAATCCCCAGAACTGGTTTGCACGGTTGAAGGCCCATTTTGCGCCTTACAGTATACCCACGAAACTGGTAAAGCCCTACCACGTAGTAGCTACCCTCCCGCCTCGTGTCACAGATGACGGGGATGAGATTGTTAAGCGACCATGCTCGCTTGGGACATAAGGGTAGATAGAACAGTTCATTATTGAGCGTATCGGTCTGCCTGGTCTACGACGCATCGCTCAGCTACTCAGAAATGCCGAGTTGGGCGACGAGAAGTTTTCCCAGTTTTTACGTCATATGCGACGCTTAACGGATTCAACGCGGCTCGGAAAGTCTTCCATGAGAATAACGTGGATACAGCAACTACCCGAAGATATACAGATTACCCTTGACGACACCCCCCTCGCAGCCTTATCGCAAAGGGGCCGACATTGCCGATCGCCTCTAGGAGACATACAGGTAACAGGTCTTCCAAGTTTTCGCGCCAGCTCCGGCAACAATGACACATTTAGCCGATCGTGGTTACGGGATCACACGTGGGATTCAAGCGTACAGCACGCAGTGCCACTGTGCGTCCTCCCGCTTTCGTAATTCTGGCAGAACAGCGTCCCTATCTAGTTCCTGGAGTCGACAATGTCCACTGGGAGTGTCAGTTCCCACCAGTGTTGGTGCCCCCAGCAGCTTCGTGGTCTGCCTCACTCCTGCTGCCTATCCCGCCTACCCATCAAAACGGTCCAAGGAAACCAAACGGCCGGCATGTTGCTGCTACTGACGTTGCTGACCCTCCCTCGAAGTTGCCCGTTCTCCCCAGCCGAGGCCGCGAATCAGGATCTTACTACCTTGCAGATACTTATGCAGAGATCGTTGTCCTTATACCATAGCCACACGAACGATTCACGCGGGCACAGTCGGATTTACCTTTCGTGCACGATAGGTCTATCACCGTTCTCCCGGTGTTCATGTACACTGATGTTAGGCCTTCACCGTACTTTGTGATTGGTATCCATCGCCACAGAAATCTAAACACCAATCGTTGGCATTGATTTTTTCGATTACTCGGATCTGCTAGTCGATACAGGACGCCATCGACTAGTCAGCCTTAAGGTGAACTTCTGTTACACTTTAACGAATACGGTTGCAATCAGCCTCGTGCACCGCCCGGCCGTTACGAGTAACTGCGCGTCGTTGGTGGAGCAGCCTGCCACCGTACTTAAGCAGCCAACTTCACTATCGCCAGTAACCGGTGTAATACAGCAATATATCGTCAGAACTGCCCAATCGGGCTTCATCGAAGCCCGTCGCTTGGCACTGGAAATAATACGCGCTTGATATCATTAGCCCCATGGAATAGCATCCGGGCCTCGTTTCTCCAAATGTTGCCTGAGAAGTCAGGTTATTGGCGTCCATGTGGATATTATCGTACTAAACAACGATGCAGTACCTGATTGGCAACCGCTTCCTCATACTCAGGACGGCGCAACCAGACTCAAGTACGTCAGCATTTTTATCACCAATAAGTAGTCTGGCAGATTTATTAATTTAGATGAGACCTAACTGTGAAAAGTCTGGGCTTCGGCTGTTTGAAAAATCCTGCCGGATCAGTCAATCCCCCAGATCATTTGGTGGATTTCAAATGAGACAGTGGGACGAGTGTGTAACCGAGTCCAAATGTGAGATTTCCGAGCTCCTGGCGTGGCTTCGTAGCTCAGCTGGTAGAGTGCCAGCCGCTTTGAGACATGGTGATTTTGTTGCTGGTTCGAATCCAGCCGAAGCCCTCACTTTTCACAATTGCGTCTCACCTGACGTCAGTATTTTATTGAAATTCCATCTGGCTCGTGATTATCACCAGAACTTAGTTGTCAACGTAGATGTCGTCATGACAACAGTGACGACCTTCGGCTTGTTCGAATTTCAACTCTTGTCGTTTGGTCTCCGGAACGCCACTGAAACATTTCGATGGCTAGTCAATGACCTCGCGAAAGGTTTGGATTTCGCCCATGCTTATATCGATGACCTTCTGTTGGCAAGCTCCTTGGAATGAAACCAAAAACGTCTGACGTTATTCGACGAAAGGTTTGCACCATAGAGCTTCACTGAAAAAGCGGATTAGCATGTTTTAACTGAACATCGGGGAATCCCCGGTGGTCCACGTCGACCGGCATGCGTTACGCCGGTGTCCGACAGAATACAGGCGATCCACAACCTCCGCCAAACCGCAGCGCTTCCTACCGCCTATCGTCTTAAGTGCATGGTCGACAATTATTGCCAATCCATTCGCACTGCGCGCAACTTGTGCAACCCTTGGCCGATCTACTTCCCGGCCGTTCTAGCGGCAACGTCAAGTTGTTAAAAGCAGCTACGTTCACCCCGACCGCCTCGAAGACGACATTAGCTTCTGCAGCAATGCTGCACCACTTTAACGCGAAAGCCACTGTCAGTATAGCCGTAGGCGCAACTGAAACAACCGTTGATGCCGTGCTACAGCAGTTTATCGATGGATTCTGGGGACCGCTTTCATCTTTCCCAGACGCATTTTGCTTGCAAAAACCAAGGACATCACGTTACGTCGTAAGTTTATATGTATCCACTCGGCCGTTCGTCACTCCTAATATGTTCACAGAGGTCGCCAGCCTATCGTTTTCTTTCATCACAAGCCGTTGATTTGTGTCTTCAGCAATCATTCTGCCCGTCACTCGCCTCGCGAACTGCGTTACCTCGATCTTGCCCCGCAGTTTTCTATAGACGTAGGACACGTCTCTGGAAGCGACAACGTTTCTGCTGACGCTCAATGGGATTTATGTCTCTGTCCCCGACTAACAAAAACTTGGCCGAAGCCGCTCGCACACCAGTGATATACGATTTGTCTACGAACCTGAATAACGGCAGCAGATCTCGGCCTAGGCGTATACACTATATGCCTTGTCTTTTCAACAATGCTCAATTAGGATGATCATCAGGTGCTTCTAATAAAAGCTGTGTCTCGTAGGATTGCCGAAAAACTGACCAACTCACTGATAGTCTATATATTCGGTAGACCATACCATGCCAGATAATATGGAGATCCTTCCGGCACTCACCCGGCACCCACAGATGTATTACAGTGCTCGGTATTAGCTTCCTTACTTTCCCTCAACCTCACCAACGACATCACTTTTAATGTACTGTGAATGTTTGGTATTCGCAGGCAATACAAAAATTCGGTTCCCCATACTTGCTCCACCAGCTGAAGATTCACTTCATTCAGACCTCGACAGACTATGTGAATTGTCGGCGAAAACCCGCCGCTGTACAAGTTGAGTAAATGCATGGTTCTTCATGGTCGCCAAAGCGCCAAACGAATGCGCTGCGTGGTCGATGCTGATCTTCTATCCGTAAGAGAGCAACTCCACCTCGGAACGTTGATACAAGGAGACTTGGGATCTCTTGCAGCACATTAACAATAGCGCGTACAGTCAGTGGCGTAATGAGCCTAGCTGAAATTATTCTGAATCACCTAAACTGATATCGTATCCCAGCCTTGTTGCGATGTTGCGTTATCCCCGTCCGAATAGATAACTCTCCATACATTCATGTCAATGGTTAAGGTGTTGGCAGACGGCTGCAACTAAAACGCGTCCAATTTTTTCATCGTTCACCGTTTGCTGTTAGAATGCAGGGGTGTCCAACAAACCCAGACATCGCGGGACAACCAGCATGCCTGATTCATAACAACGCATTCGACATCTCCCTAGGCTTTTCGGAATTTAATATCAGAGCCAAGTTTCCGTCTAACGTGATGTCCATAATTCATAGTTATATTTCTTAATTCATTGTTGTACACTTATATATATGCCGTTTTGTCAACTTCGTCTGTACACTTGTTTGCCACTATCACCATCACCCTTTTAACTGGATCGTCAACACGAATAAACGGGAGTTACCACGCGTCGTCTTTGTCCTCTTCATTCGTGCGGATTGTTGCGCTGTAAAGTGATTGAACGATGGAATATTTTAGCTCCGCGCATTAGCTGATCTACCGACGGTCAACGTTCATCATCTCGCGTCGCTGGTGGAATTATCTATCGGCCGCCTGACGAATCTCATCTCTGACGCTCTCTCTTCTTTGTGGTGGCCTATTAAATTCAGCAGATCTTGACTCATCTGTGAATCGTTCCTATCTTACTCATACGTCTTCTGTTTAATTTGTAGGTTTACCTTTTAAACCTATCCGTTACCGTCACGACTCTTCCTTGATATTACCGTACTTTGATCATTTTTACCACTTCATGGATCAAGCCATCACACTACACCCACCCGAAGACTGTTCTCATGTAGTGTGACTTTGACGTTGTGCATCGGTGGTCGATAAATAGCAGTCTTCCTTCCAACAGTAGTGAGTCGAAAATCGCGCACATACGCCATGTGCAACATGATTTGCCGAGTTAAGGGCAAACGCCTATTGTTGCTTTCCAAGAGAAAGGCCTAGAGACTCTACTTTAGGACATCCTCCGCCTTGGCATCAATAACTTGATAATGACAAAGAAAGGCAGTAACAGGACTACTAGGGAAACTTCCAGCAGAATAGTTTGCGCGCATCTTTGGTCCTTCAATAACTCCACTTTCAAAGGTAGACTTACAGAGATGTGCTTCGTACCTGAAAAACAGCCATCCTTTAATGTGCACAACATTATACGTCGAAATGGGTCATAAGTTTCTTTTCCTAGTCATATACAGACCGACTGAAGCGGCTGTATCTTTTTCAAGTGGCTTACAAATGGTTAGGGAGAGACCTGACCCCTCTCGTTACAATCATGGACACAAAGGATTACACCAGTCGAAAACCCCTCCAGCTGGCGGAGACCACCAGCTCAGGTGGACGAAAATTTGAGCCATACTTAGTCACTCGCTTCGCAGGCAACACAGTTCTGCCAACCCGGTTTGCCCGACTTGTAACGCCATTGCGGCATAAGTCATGTGGGCTACTATCTTCGGGGCGTTCAGTGAGCCTCTAGATGATTGGTTCTTACCTAGACGGCCACTGAGGATGGTGCACTCTTATTAGAACGCCCACTTCTCAACGCGTATTTATGCGTAATTTCCGGTGTGTGCCTGGACGGTGGGACACTGGACTAACCGGGCCTGGTTTCCAGTAATGTTCCAGTTTCGCTGGCCTGTGTGGATGAGGTGGAGGTAGTAGGCGGCGACCTGTTATCGCGTGCATCAAACGGTAGAATCGGGATGACTACCGCTGGCTCTTCAGCGGCACGCGTTCTGTCTGGGAGCGTAGTTTTTCCGAGGGACGCTTCAGTCAGTGCACCTGTCGCTCCGTCCTTGGGACAGTCAATTTGTGGGAGCTCGTCTTCCGTTAACATTACGGCCAGTCGATCGCTGGGTGCAAGCTGCGTCCTAAAAAGCTAATGATGAGGACCAGACGAGAAGCCGACTTCGCCGGACTTTTCCCGATCGCAAACACCTTGGCGGATCGAGTGCAGTGCCTGACGCATCGTTGTTGCAAATGAGTTCGGGTCAGTCCGCAGCGGTGGCTGATGATGATCCCGCGGTTCGGGAGAAACTCGAACATGCAGAGGTGGATAAGTATTCGTAGGATCTGGCCGCATTGCTCGTCTTCGATGGGCTGCGAGGCGTGGACAGTGGGCTAGGTAGGTGGCTGCACCATCGCGTCGTTCTCCATCGGTTTATTGTGATTGGCTGGACTGTGTGTGGGCGTGTTGCATGTTTTTGACGGTGCTGTTTGTTATGGCCGACGTTCGCGAGTACGATGACCGCAGCGTGCTTGTGCGTGTTTATGTTTCACCTTTTTCGCTACCTTGGCGTGTGATCGGGCTTGTGTTTTGTTGTAATCCGGCGGGCTGCGCTGACTGCGACTTCGGTCCTTACGGGTTCAACTATGTCAGATTGGCTAAAGGGGAGCAGCCAGATAAGAGGCAGATGCTTTGTTGTGGATGGTGCTAGTGTGATGCGTTGTGATTTGTTTTGATGTTTGTTTTTGCCTGGTCTGACTTCATGTATGTATGAGAGGTTTGTCAGCGCAGTTTTTCTGTTACAGTGTGAGTGTGCTAAATCTCTTGTGATGTGATTGTTGAGGCTGTTTTGGGTGATTGACGCTATTACATATATGTGTGCGCGTCAACTACTGCCTTCTGGTACAGGTTTTTGGGCCAAAACCTTCGGCTGAGGACCTTGATCGCTCTCTTGCCTAGTCCTAGATGTCCCGACAGTATCCAAAGCCCAAATAAACCAAGATATCACAACGTAACCCAAATAACCTACTGCACCGGCCATCTTGCATGATAAACCGAGTCGCCCTATCTGTTGCTCATGACAGAACGGATAGGCAAAACAAGCTACTTTCAGACACTTACCCTCATATGGTCCAACCGACATCAATCTTCGGGCAGATAAGGCTCACTCAAATTTCAGTTCCCGGAAGAACAACCAGAAACCGGTCCGGGGACGCAAGACGTCCTGTATTGGAACATTGAAATTGCGCACGCTGCTGGATGGATGCAGCATCACGGGACGACCCGAACGGCGAGCCGCAGAGATCACGAGGGAGGTGCATCACTACGGAATCCATGTAGCGGCCCTGAGTGCGACAAGACCTGCAGACCAACGTAGGTTACGGGTAGAGGGTGGCCAATATACCTTCTACTGGGATAGGTTACCCGACAGACGGTGTTCGGGAGCGTGCTGTTTGTCCTGCAGTCACTGGTCGCATCAGTGTTATGGTGGTGGGCGAACAGCACGGCATTAACCCTCGAATGCTCTCCATGCG